ACTACTGGATTCAATCCCCAGCACCACAAAAAAAAAAAAAAGTAATAAAAAGAAAACTTTCCCCTCTCTTGATATTGTCAGGAATTCTAGGCAGTTACTCAGAGCTGAGATGGTGTCACATATATTATCTCTGATGATCCTGAAATGGCAGACTTGATCACATCTTCAGAGGGAGACTTTGCTGATGAATTGGAACACTTTGAAGTAACTGGGGAATATACAATCCTTTCTATATGTCAGTGAATACTTCACCTCTGTTCAGGATGCATATGAAAACAATCACAGCTTATAATGTATACTGTGCTTTTAACAGTTTTGTTTTTGTTTTTTTTCTTTCTGTGGTGCTGGGGATGGAAAAAAGAATTTCATACATGCTAGGCAAGTGCTCTACCATTGAGCCATAACGCTGGCCCATACCTACCCCTTTTGATTTTGAGACAGGGTCTCCCCAAGTTGCCCAGGATGACCTCCAACTTGTGATCCTTCTGCCTTAGCCTTTCAAGTCTCTGGAATTACAAATGTGTGCCACCATACCCAGCTGTGCTTTTAACTCTTTGAAGCATTTTCACATGTATTCTGAAGCTCTAAACCTTACCCCCTTCTAAATGGATCAACTTCTAGAAACCTCCAAAAAGCATGAACATTTAGCTTCAAAAGCTTTGGGAATGGCATGGATGTTTCAAGGGAAACAAATAAACTTTTTACCAGTGCCAAGAATTTGTGAAGGTGACCCAGATCAGTGAGATTAGTACATATAAGTTAGCAAAGTACTTCCTGGTCACTTTTGCAGGTTTCTAAATAGAACTTGATCTTAAAAAAAGAAAAAAATTTTGAATGTCTGAGTTAACAAACATATTTTCAGTTTCCTTATTTTTTTCTTGTTTTCTTTTTTCTCTTCTTCCTCCTCTTCTCCTCTTTGTTCTTTTTTATTATTCTAGGGATTGAACTCAGAGCACACACTCTACCACTGACCCTATACCCTCAGCCCAGAGGGTGTAGGTTTTAAAAGTTAAAAGCTTTTAATTTTAAAAATTAAAAGCTTTTACAACAAGCTTTAAAACAAAACTCAGAAATACATAAAATATATACTTCCATCCTGATACCTTCAGAGGTAACCACTATGGACAATTTGATGTATAGTTTTATTACAAAAGTGGAGACATTTGATAAATATTCATTTGTTTCTTGTTTCACCTTGTATCACAGATGCCTCATTCTTTTTACTGGTCTCTTCGTATTTGTTAGCATGTGTGGCAGACACTGCCAGTGTTCTGCTTAGATACCCTTGGAAATCATCGTTTCCTGACTTCTGATGGCCAGTCCCTCTATCTGTTGGACAACTCTCTCCAGCCACTGAAGCCAATTTGCCCATGGCTGGGTGGCTGGCAGAATTGGGAATTAGTTTACCTCTGGGAGACAGCTTTTCACCAATAACTCAAAGGTGTGGGATTATAATACCCAGCTCTCTGGCCGTTGGGTTAGGATGATTCTGATGCCTCTGTTTTGCACTGTTCTCAGAGTTTCCCTGAAAGATTAAACTCTAGTCACTCTAGCTTACAGCTTAATAGCACACCCTTTACTGGCTGCTACCATTCCTTGCGTCACTTCCCCATTTACCTATATACACTTCCCAAACATGGACTTGAATCCTAGTCACAAGCTACTTATAGGAGAACACAAAAGTAAGACAGCATGAATGTGCTTTAGTTTGTTTCATTATTTTCTTATCAGTGTCCACTTAGGTAGTTTATGGATTTTGTGAGGGAGGAGTCGGGTACTGGCAATTGAACCCAGGGCGTCATGCACACTAAGCAGGTGTTCTGCCACTGAGCTATGTTCCCAGCCCTGCAATTTCCAATAGAAATAAGACTGCCATAAAATCTTTATCCATGTGGCTTAAATACCTGCACATATATTCCTGAATCATAAATGTTAGGTCAAAGGGAACTCATATTTGGTATTTAGGATATCCTACCAAACTGGCTCCCCCAAATGGCTTCCTTAATAATAATCCTTACCAATAGTTTATTGTAATGTACTTTAACCCCTTCTCTTGCCAACACTAGATACACAGGTATTTTATTTTATTTTTCTGATTAGTTAGACAAAAGTGTATATACTCTACAGGCTTGTTGTATCGCCTATTTAATTTGCACATCTTAGTGAAATTAGGAAAAACATTGCAGCATTTCAGATGGTTATCTATTGATGGGAAGAGAACACATGGAAATCAGAGACACACCCAGTATAGAAAATATCAAGGTCTGGATTTAATTACCTGGCAATATAAAATCTTAGCAGCAGTGGGTGGCTAAACAGAGCAAAGGTAGATGTCCATGCAGCTTCCCCTGGTTTTCAGGCCTAGGTGTGGAGCACACCATGTACACAAAGGATCAAACCAGATGCAGAGAAGTTCAAGCCTTGCTATGTCTTAAACTGCACTATACTCAGGGGTTTTGTTGCTCTTTAATAAGGTCTTACACATTGAAGCCATATTCTGTCTGAGGGATGTTACCAGCCTAGTGTTCCCCTGTTTTTGAAACGAACTTAACAAGGCCAGGTGTCAGTGAACAATAGCTCTGCTTGTACCTTTCCAACTTTCTGGAAAGTGTTTCCCTGAACACTATCCTTTGCCTATGAATTAATCTTCTTTGTCTAGATGGTTCTGAAGCTGAGTGTGGTCTGAAAACCACAATTAAAATCTATTTTTAAACCCAGTGTGGTGTTGTATGCCTATAATCTCCGAGATTCTGGAGATGGAGGCAGGAGGATTGCAAGTTTGAGGTCAGCCTGAGCAACTCAGTGAGACCCTGTCTCAAAATAAAAAATGAAAAGGGCTGGGGGTATAGATCAGTGGTAGAGTGTGCCTGGGTTCAATCTCCAGTACTGAGAAAAGTCTTGTTTTTATCTAGGTGTGGTACATGTGTGTAACTCCAGTGACGTAGGAGGCTGAGGCAGAAGGTTTATAAGTTTGAGGCAGCACAAGCAGTTTAGCAAGACCCTTAGCAACTAAGTGAGACCCTGTCCCAAAATAAAAAGGGATAGAGATGTAGTTCACTGGTAGAGTGTTAGGGGCCAGGCTGTATGGGCAATGATCAAACAGACTCCATTTTACCCTAAGACTCCATATTATATAAGAAATGTTTCTTCTATGGGAAAGCCCTGCCTCTGTACCCATTACTAATTGCTTAACATAGCTTACTTGGCAACACAAAATAGCAGTCCTTATACAAAGTAAAATTGTTCTCTTTAGTCTCCATTTTTCTTGTGCAGTCTATCTTATCAGGGAATAATTGATTAAATGTTAGTAGCCATTCTTTAACTTGTACTTGACTAGGGTCACTTTGATCCATTTCTCTTTTGATTATGATTATGGAAAATCCCATGAGAAAACTGAATGAGAATGAAAATATGATTAAGAACATACTGCATTGTTTTGCTAATGGCTCAATTCAGCTTCTATATCTGCTGGCTTGTAGCTACGCCAACCCGGATATAGGTCCTGGGGGGGGGGGGGGCCGGGCAGGCAATCACCTGCTGCCCAGCTAAATAAAGACTCTTCAATTTGGACAAAACTGGGACTTGGTGTGTTTTCTGAGCAACCTGCCCCACAACAGAGAGTACCTTCTGAATCATATATATATGTGTGTGTGTGTGTGTGTATGTGTGTGTGTGTGTGTGTGTGTGTGTGTGTATATATGCGCGCGCGCATTTGGTCAGGTGCCTATAATGCCAGAAACTCTGGAGGCTGAGGCAGGAGGATCACAAGTTCCAGGCAGCCTGAGCAAATTAGTGAAATCCTGTTTCAAAATAAAATATAAAAAGGGCTGGGAAGTATCTCAGTGGTTAAGCACCCCTAGGTTAAGTTCCCAGTACTGGGGGCGGGAGGATCTATTTTTAGCTGGATGTGGTGGCATATGCCTGTAGTCCCAGCACTTAAAAGTAGCAGCACATAGATTACTTGAGCCCAGGAGTTGGAGGCCAGCCTAGGCAACAGCTCTAAAACAAAACAAAACAAAATCTATTTTTCTAAAATCATTTGTTCGTGTGCTCGATGCAAATTGTATTTCTTATGTGATTGACCAGTTCGCATGCTTTGTCTATTTTTCTATTGACTTATCTTTGTTCTTTGTATTTCCTTATTGATAGTTTTATATATTGTGAATATTAACACTTTCCTTATTATAAATGTTGTCAATGTCCTCTTAATCTATTGCTTTTCACTGGCCTTTGTTTATAGTGATTTTTAATTTTCATTCGGCAATATCTGTGGATCTTTTCATTCATGATTTGGAGTTTTATGTCTTACTTAGGACAGTCATTCATTCCTACTCATAAATCATACAAATAATATCTTATTTTTTTCTTCAAGTCCTTTATTGCTTTTTAAAAATTTTAGACCTTTAATCAATCCACAATTTGTTTTTGTGGGTGATGGGAAAAAGAATTTTATCATTTTTGCTGCTCCTATCAGAGAGACAATGTTCTCATTGCATTTTCTGCGAGGTTAATGCTAGTATGTGGAGTACATGTTTAGTCTGAAGTTTCAATTTCATTATCTCCCACTGTCCCATCTCAGCAGGGACCACATTTTTATGTTGAAGGAAAATCCTTTCAGATAGTCAGCACCCCTATGGTGTGGCCATTAAACAATTCTCTTTTTCAGCCTCTGTTTCCTCATCTGATAAATGGGGAAGTTGGACCAAACACTCTAGTCTCTTCCTGCATTAATAATGCTAAGGTTTTAAATAACTGTACCCTTTCTGGCCAAAAGGCAGTTCAATTTCAAAAGGGAAAAAAAATTGAATCCTGTATCTCTGGTTGCTAAAGGACATTGAACTTCTTTACACTTGAAAATGATACCAAGGGTTGTGAAGATTGGCATCCTCTGCTCTTGGATTCAATACCTTAGCTATATTTAGCTAGAACTAGCACCTTGGGAAATAGGACACTTGCAATACAGAGCAAAGAGCAGAGTAAGGCAGCCATTCAGAACTTACCTACTGATCTTGAAATAATGGGCTTCTTTCAAGGAAGAGGACAAGGAATATAGCAGAGGTCTCCTGCTTCAGGAAACTCCTTTTTCAAATGATCTGGCATTGCTGGGTGCAGTGGTATATGCCTGTAATCCTGGCAACTTGGGATGCTGAGGCAGGAGGATCACAAGTTTGAAGCCAGCACCAGTAACTTAGACACTGTCTCAAAACAAAAAATACACAAGGCTGCAGATGTAGCTCAGTGGTAAAGCTTCCCTGTGTTCAATCCCTAGTAGCTGTTTCCCCCATCCCTGCAAAAGACCCAATAACCTGGCATTGGAGAGTTTGCCAGGCCTGCTCTGACAGTCCAGCCTTGACCAAGGGTTTTAGTAGTATGTGAACCCAATATACCTGTGGTTTTAACTATAAATCCAGAGAGAATTTTGATATTTAACTATCCAAAAGAAGCACAAGGATTCACTGTGTGCCAGATAAACTACAATTATTACCAAACTTCTGGGTCAGTGTTGATTTGTGTTATATTCAACCATTTACTTTAAATTTTTTTCAGCATAGATAGTATGATATATATGTCATCTACAACCTAGGAGTTGTTAATCAACACTCAGAGTCCTCTAAATAACATGCACTCCTTAGAAGTAAAAAGAACCTGAAAGACCATAAGCAGAACTCTAGGCAATAAAGATGGAATCAGAGTGCTACCCCAGGTACTTCAACTATCTTCATTTCATATTAAACTAGAAGGTTTGTTAATTAGCATAGTAAAAGTTAGATATCTTCACTTGCAAAATGACTTGTGTTCAAGATAGGTAAATTGGCTAGAAATACTGCATAGTTACTCTCACCTGTGCCCAAACAGCAGCTCACCCCCTTCAGGATGGTCTAAGGCACAGACTGTCAGGTTCAGTGTAAGCCAACTGCAAATAATTCTATCACCTGACTCTAAGGAGAAGTTTGGTTCAATCCTGTCAGGTTCTAGTAGCAAGTCCAATAGGTACTATAATTTGGAAGCAATGATCTGTGTGAAAAAACATTTCAAAATAACATCAGCAACAGTAAAATAATATGAAATGTTTATGATTTCTTTTGGTAATAAAACCCCAAGTTCTGCTAATATTGCCTATATAGTTATAGAAGAAACTGATAATTACATTTAGAAATTAGTAAGAATATAGGTTATATATATATATACACACACACACACACACACACACACACACACACACACACACATTTTTTAGTTGTCAATGGACCTTTTATTTTATTTATTATATGCAGTGCTGAGGATTGAACCCAGGGCCTCACATATGCTAGGCAAGCACTCTACCACTGAGCCACAACTCCAGCCCCAAGGTTTTTTTAATCCAAGCTCATACAATCTTCTAATTTTATTCACTGACTTTTAGGGGGTCCACAGATTTAGAATAAGAATGCCTGAGCCTAGTTTAGTGAATATTTAATACTAAAGAAGCCATTCAAGCCGGGCATGGTGGCACATGCTTGTAATCCCAGGCTAAGGCAGGAGGATCATGAGTTCAAAGCCAGCCTCAGCAACAGTGAGGTGCTAAGCAACTCAGTGAGACCCTTTCTCTAAATAAAATTCAAAATAGGGCTGGGGATGTGGCTCAGTGGGTTAGTGCCTGGAGTTCAATCCCTGGTACCAAAAAAAAAAAACTTTCAAAAGGGGCCTCACTGCTAATGGTGCCCATCACAGGGATATCAATGTTCTGGCCAACAGAGCCTTTCCTGGGATCCCAGAATCATTCAGAGGACTGGGCTCCACAAAGAATCTCACCAACTCTGCATTGCTTGTGCCCAGGGTCCCCACAAAGCCTTTGCAAAAGCAAGCCATTCACCTACAGTGAGCTGGACAAGAATACTGGAAGTTCGATGGGGTATCAGCCTGCCACAGGCCAAATCCTTTCTCAACAAGCCCATTTTTCCTCAGGAAACACAGCAAAAATCCGTATTAGACTCTAATTCACTTTACCACCTAAACATTTTTCCTCTCAATTATTATATTCCTATATTTGCATAATTAATTTGGTCATTATATTGGTTGTCCCAGAACTAAGCAACCAATAGTCTACCCTGAAGCTATATCCAAGTCTTGCCTTTTACAAAACCCAAGACTCGCTTCTGGACTCTTTTAAAAACCTGTTTATTGTTTTTGTTAGTTTGTTTTTCCCATATGTTTTCTGTTCACTTCAGAAAGATTTAAAAGGTCCCAACCCAAGCTTCCTGTGCAGTCCTCTCCCAAGCACTTTCTAAAACAATAACCACCCATGATTGAGAGATCTTCCCCTCTGAGCCATTGGTAGCTGCCTCCCCTCATGCTGCAGGCCCTGAGGCTGGTTTCACAAGAGTCACACAGCAGGAAACTGCCACTTGTGGGGCCCAACCTAGCTGGGGAGCGGCTAGAGAATAGGACCTGAGAACAGGAAAACCAGAGGAAGGGCACCCCCACTTCTAGCCCTTTGCTGTCTTTTATTGCCAGGAGGAGTGTTTAGCACTCTGAGGGGAGCATGCCCTGGACAACTTGTAAGGAGAGAATGTGCAGAATCCATCAGGTGTGTAGGGATCCCTGCTGTGGGAAGCAGTGGAAGGTTCCAGGAGCTGGGAAGGAGGAAGTGGTGCAGAAGTAGTTACTGGAAGACACTTACAGTTCCTTCCCAGCCTCCTGGAGGCACTCAGTTAGTGACACTGAAGTGGGATGGGGGTTGGGGACAGCAAAACAAGCCTGTCCCTCCCTGGGTGCCTGCATACTTGACCAGTGCCCCAAGGTCTCTGGCACATGTCACTGCTACTTGGTTCATTCTTACTGGAGCTAGTGGATAGGATTTATTATCAGTTATTTTGTTTGTTTGTTTGTTTGTTTGTTTGTTTTGGTACCAGGGATTGAACCCAGGAGCACTTTGCCACTGAGCTATATCCCCAGCCCTTAGTGAGACAGGTCTCATTAAGTTGCTGAAGTTGGCCTCAAACTTGCAATTCTCCTGCCTCAGCTTCTTGAATCAGTCGGTCTTGCTACCTTAAATGCAGCCTGGAAAAAGGATAAGAAAGGGAAACTCCTTACAAGAAAATGTCCTTCCTCTCCTAGATCCACAGGCTCCTTACCCTTGTTCACTTGATTCATCATTGATTCCTCTAGATTCATAGCCTTTCTAATAAGTGGTCTCCTCCTGGTCCCAACATGGGCATTCTTTTCAGCTGGGTTGATGACTGGGAGAGGGAAACTTCTCTGTCACTTTTTTTCTTAAACCTTTCCTTTACATCCAGGAAATGATCAGCTTACATGCAGTTCAAGTAAATGTGAGGGACTGTCCCAGGAACCAGCTAACTCCTTGTATTTTCAAGTCCCCAGCCTGATTTTGTATTTTATTTTAAAATAGGGTCTCACTGAGTTGTTTAGCGCCTTGCCATTGCTGAGGCTGGCTTTGAACTCATGATCCTCCTGCCTCAGCCTCTGAAGCTGCTGGGATTACAGGCATGCACCACCGCACCCCGCCCAACATGGGCATTCTTTTTTTTTTTTTTTTTTTTTTTTTAAAGAGAGAGTGAGAGAGAGAGGGGGACAGAGAGAGAGAGAGAGAGAGAGAATTTTAACATTTATTTATTTTTTCTTAGTTCTTGGCGGACACAACATCTTTGTTGGTATGTGGTGCTGCTGAGGATCGAACCCGGGCCGCACGCATGCTAGGCGAGCGCGCTACCGCTTGAGCCACATCCCCAGCCCCCAACATGGGCATTCTTTCAGGGGCTTCTACTCACTGCCTGAGGGAATCATTAAGGTAGTAGCTGCCCAAGCTGAATTCTAAACAAAGAAAAGCCAAAATTAACTGTATTCAAACAAAGGATTCCATCTATAGAAGCTCATTTGTTTCCCTACTCTGCAGCTGGCTGGGTTGATGACTGGGAGTGGGGCCTTCTATGTCACTTTTTTTCTTAAACCTTTCCTTTAGATCCAGGAAATGACCAGCTTATTAGCTCATAGCAGTTCAAGTGAATGTGAGGGACTGTCCCAGGAACCTGCTAATTCCTTGTATTTCCTGCTCCCACACCAGCAGGGCCTCTGGTTAGGCACTCTACCACTAAACTACATGCTTAGCCCTTTTTATTTAATTTAGAGACAGGGTCTTGCTAAGTTGACAAACTTGCAATCCTACTGCCTCAGCCTCCAGAGTAGCTGGTATTACAGCCCTGCACTACCATGTTTGGCTTATTTCTTGCTTTTTGTTCCATTAAAACACCAAAAAAGCAGGGCCCTGTGGCACACGCCTGTAATCCCAGCAGCTCAGGAGGCTGAGGCAAGAGGATCACAAGTTCAAAGCCAGCCTCAACAATGGCAAGGCACTGAATAACTCAGTGAGACCCTGTCTCTAAATAAAACACAAAAAAGGGCTGGGGATGTGTCTCAGTGGTCAAGTGCCCCAGAGTTCAATCCCCAGTATCCCCCCACCCAAACAAAACAAAACAAAAACAAAAAAACACCAGAAATTTCTTTTCATTTAGGCACTCTGTTTCTGGGGCTTGAGGATTAATTACTCAGATTTATTACTTCCATGTGAGCCTTGCAAGTTCTCAAACTCATCTTACTCCATAGTATCAGGAAATCTCTAACTCTGGTGAGAGTCAAATATTCTATCATTTCTACCACAACCTGAGCCCTCCAGTTAAGTAGCTACTGTAGATTTTGTTGGAAGAGCTCTTCCTGTCTACCTTCCTTACCCATAATGGTTAAGTTAGTTACTCTTTGAGCCTCAGAAAGGGATAATAATAATAATATCAACTTAGAAGGTATATAGATTTTTAAACCAAGTATATAATGTAAATAGTGTTTAATAGATGTTAAAGGCCTATTTAAATGTTAGATGGCGTAACTTCTCCCACTGTTAGGCTCAAGAGCAATTTTTCAGAATTTTCCTTGGGAGTTTAGTATGAAAGTATCTACACTGACAATGATAATAGCCCTGGAGAAGGAGCCCTAATGAGATAAAAGTGGGCCTCTTTGCCATGTGTCCTCCAAGGAGTCAAATACTTCAGAGACATTTTCAATCCATCAAGGAACCTCAGTGCTAGACACACAGCACGTTGTCAGGAAACATTTGTCCATTTACTGATAACGAGTGAGTGCTCCCTGAGAGGCTTTTGAATTGAATTGACACAGTCACCCACAGTCCCAGTCCCCAAA